AGAAAAAGAAACAGTAAAATAGGCAAAATAGCCTGATCCTGTAGAAAATAAGTTCAAAGGACCATACCTATGAACACCTGTGAAATCAGCAGCTCTCTGTGCCATCATAGTTTATTTGATTTTCATTTATTTCATCTTTATTTTCCTTTTTCTTCTTTTTTTTAACTTGTGTTTAGCAATGACTTATTTATAGGGGTTTCCATTATTGCTGTTCTAGGAACTTTTGTTGACCCTTACTCTAAGAATGGCAATTTAACAATTGTTAAATTTAACAACACATTTTGTGCCAACCACTTTAATGTTTCATGTTTACAGTGGTTTTTTTTTTAATATCAGTGTAGCGATATTAATAGCGACTCTCTCATGAACGTACTACATAAAGGTGACTGCCGTGTGTGTATTAGCCTTCTCACAAATGAACGACATGGCAAGTGATGAATAAACAGAATTTTTGTTGGTACAAATGCACGTGTCCAAGAATGATGCCATTACTTTAACCATGGCAGAGTAAAGGTACAAGTTGCATGCACAGCAAAGCCCTCTATCTTTTCGATGGAAAATAAAGAGAATACACAATGATCTACTTTACCAGTTCTGTATTTCTTCTGAAAACCATCCCGTTCTGCCATTCCCCTGTGCTCTGATAGTAGCTCTTTCTTGGGTTTAGTTAGAATTTTTCTCTGTTTTCTTCGGATTTTGCTGGGACTAGCACAGTTTGTTTTAGAATTATAGGTAACCTGATGCTGACCAGCAGAGTGAAATGATGCACAAGACCACCATCGGATTCTGTCTGGGACAAACCTTGTGCTTCTCTTCTCTCTTGCAACCAGGGCATGTTATTGCTACACTCCAAAGGAGTTCATTTCTTCATACAAAAATCCCCCTTCCCCACCAGAAGAAGTATAATCTATGTTTTGGTGAAGTCATTGGAAATGCCTTTCTTGGCAGCTAACAACGCTAAGGATAGTTTCATTTCATTTAATTTCCCAGGATTTTCACTGCATATATCAGTACACCAACCATGACAGCCTTTTTCGTATGCAGACGAAGGTCATGTAAGTGTCAGAAATTTCTGTTAGCTGAAGTAATTAACACTGTCAAAATCTTTTCAGAAAAGCAAACTGAGAACTATTTAAGATGCCTTTAATGCTTCCCATTCTGTACAAAGAATGACTAATATCAGAATGACAGGAAATTGTATCTCTGCTTTGAGAAGAATTTATTCACTATTTGATGAATTAATTCAGCACCCATATTTTGTATATTATTATATACATATTTTTCAAAACAATAGAATTTCTACTTAAATGAAAGGGGGAAACATATGTATTCATCTCAGGCTTAGTAAAAAAATACTATTGATTCAGTTGTGCAGAAAAAGTCCGTTGAGATTGAGAAATAATATCTAGGAAATATCATTTACTATCATCTACAAGAGAAACAACAAAAAAAACAACACACAAAGCTCTTGATCCTAGGAATCCAGGGACAAAATGCAGCTATAACAATACAGTGTATCTTTCATTTTATGCTTTGAAAAATAATCAAAAAAAAAAAAAGTAGTCCTATATAGCCAGGTTTCCCATTGCAAAATAAATGAAGTTTGCAATGGATACAAACACTGATGCAAAGAAGTTGAAGAATGCAATTTTGATCTTGGACACCTCAATCCAGGATGTTCATTTGAATAACCCAAAACATGGAGTTGTATGTGTGACATTCCGGCATGTGCATGAGGAGC